TCCTAGATTTTTCACTTCGTCGTACAAGTAGTTGACTTCGTCGATTAGTTCCAATCCTTTTTTGTGCAGAGATTGCCATTTTTGTGCCATTTTATCGAAATTTTTCAGAGCTACATCTTTAATAACAACTAATTTTGCCATTCCTTTTGCAACGAGATCGGTCCACTGCGCTTTCATCTTCTCGAAACTAACTTCTATGGCTTGCTTATTGAATAGTCCATCATTTATGTCCAAAGCCTCATCTTCAAAGAGCTACACGAATAAAAATTAATTTTTACATCAACTGTCGTAATTGTATGCATATTAAATCAGAAACCAAGTTATAGTAATTTTATCTACCTGGAAACTCCTAACAACACTTAAATCATTGCTTTGACCTTCGAGTGGCTGGGCCTGAGAAAATCAAAGAGGAAAATTTAGTGTTTATTATGCGAAAATACACATCTATGATTTAAATTCAAATATCTTACCAAAACCAAAGATGAGCCCAAGAGGAGAATGAAGAATTTTGCCAGCATGGTTGTTACAAAGAAGCTCGGAGGTTCAGACGATAATGATTCGAACATTTCTTTTTTCGTATATATAGCATATTTTTTTATTTGTACTAACAAAACAAATCAGTTTCGTAACGAAACGTCAACATAAACTCAATTTAACAATTTACTCACTTTTATCAATGCAAAATCGAGTTAATTATACATACACAAGATAAAAGTTCAAAATTTGGTTCAAATGGTCCAAATTTTCGTGTAATACGTAATATGCAGATAAATATATTGCCTGAGTGATTTCATAACACAACGTATTACAATGGTTTATACGTAATTACATAATTAATTATAGCATCTCTTTCACAACATAAAATAAAGGAGTTGATTAGTTGATTTAAACTTTGAAATTAATCATTTCCAAAAGCGTGACTGCATTCGTTCTGAATCGTAAATAAAAAATTAAAGAATAATAATCATTATGGATCTAAGAAAGCTTATGTACAACACGAGATATTCGATCAAGTTTTCACTCGAACACATATTATAAAATTTAGTACTGTAAAATTTAATATATCATTTCAATAACGATAGTCATAAGTATTATTATATAATATAAATGTAATGATGATCTAAAGAAATAACGTACTGATCCGAAAAGTCATGATTTATGTGAATAAAAAAATTACAGTGATAAAAAAAAGTAGAAGGAATGGAAAAATATATAATAACAAGATTAAAAATATTTTTCTTTTCAGCGGCGATGCATCGTCGTGGTCGCGTCAGCCACGTACAATGCGCGGTATACGTGTTTTAGCGTCTTCTACATGTAGATTCATGAAAAAATATGTATTATATATATAGGCGCGCTGCGCGTGTGGCTGTATCGACTGTTTGGCAAAGTACGGCGCAAATAAATACGTAAGAATCGGTTGCGTGCAGTGGACTCATTGTTATAGGCTCGCAGCTTATGTACACCTACACGCAGGTCGTGCAGTTGGTGCAAGCTGCAGCAACAAAACCTTTCGATACTCGCGAGCGTCGGTGCGGTGAGCTGCTCTACAGGCTACAAGCCGTTCGCGAATAAACGCCTGTGCGTACAACACGCACACAAGCAGACTCGTGACTCGCACATAGCCAAAGGCTCGAATCATTTACATTTTATCTCTCTAGCCGCACACGCGAGTGCCGACTTGTTTCTGCGTACGCCGGCGATCTAACACTCTAACGTCGATATCGCCGCGATGCGTTGACTAATGACCCTCGCAAGTATAAGATGCACCTTTGTCAACCATTTTTTTTTATGTAGTTGCAACGCCAAAAGAAAAAGGCACCAATTTATTACATTTTAATTGACAAAAAATATTATAATTATTTTGTAAACAATTTTGGATGTATGTTTCCATATGTGATAGAGCACCCAGCCAAGCTTCACGGTCAGGGCAAACTATTCGCGCATGGCTTGTTTCATTTCGTTTTCCTCGCTCTATCGCATACATATCTTGTTCCTATGATTATATGCAAAAAGAGAAGTTGAGAGGGAGAGAAATGCATATAGGCAGACATTGGAGCTAGAATATTTGAATGAGAATCTATACTCAAACGCAGCACTCGTACGCATCTAGTTTTTAGTTGTTAATAGATCGTGAACGGGTTATGTGTGTTTGTATAACATATAATATAAGCAGGCAAGAACGCTGCAGCAGTTAACTCTCTCTCTCTTGCTCGCTTGCTCGCTCGCTTGCGCTACTGCAGCTTATATGCGTACCCTTGAACTTGGCATTTACGCAATTCTCTTTGGCTTTCTCGGCTGTTATCGCGCTTCGCGATCGCCGACGCAAATCTTTCCTATTATCGTTGTCGCAAAGTCCAAGTTTAGCAATGGCATGGAGCGATCACATTGCTCGAAAAACAATCGGACTCTTGTCCTCGAAAATACAGGGAATTCGGCGAGCACAATTAGCGGCCGTTTTTTCATTTGCCAGCTGAACGCGTGATGCAGGTAGGTAAAGCGCGAAATCGTACTTCCGCGCAATGCTGCACGTTCATCATTGCGTCGCTCGTCTACTGCGTTTTCCTTTGCATTCGGAAGAATCGGCCTTTGGTCTTGCGCGCGGTCATTATTTAGAGATGCTTGCTTTTTTTCACTCATTTCAGATATCGAAATTTCTCTTACTCGCCATTGCGGCCATTGGCTTTGCAAGTTTAGTCAAGACGGTAAGTAGTAGATGTAAACTCATCGAAATAAAAAGTTGCAAATGTCGTGGCTGGCAAGTGGCATTAAGAGTCGTGCAAAGGAGTAAAATGCGATCACATAATGTTCGCGTGCGTTTGTGCGAGGAGATGCACAGGAGAAGGCGAGCAAAAAATGTATAACAATAAGCTGGCACCGATGAGAAAGCGATGATATCTCCCGAGGAATGAATACACTTGTGAGATTTATACCGTTTACGATAATTCGTTATTGCTTTATCGTACACACAGACGGATGCATACACAAACTCACAAGCAGAGAGAGAGAGAGAGAAACTGCGCACGTATGTTATTGTACGAAGCGAGCATGCGTGTTGCTATCTACACGTACAACAAGTCCGAAGCCTCAAAGCTGTGTGCGTATATGCATGCACGTCGAGCAAAGTCGCTTGTTCTGGCGCGCGCAATGACCACAAAAGAGGCGATATACCAACACTACGTAGCGCAACGTATATATAGCCTCGTACGTACATGCCAAGCACATGTGCGCGCACACCGATAGGCGCCAATACACGAATATTCCCCAACAGTCGACCATACGTTACATCTTCGGCTCTATGCATCTCCACTTTCGAATATACGTATACATATTATATTATACATTCGTGTACGATGTCGTTTGTTATTCAATCCCTTGTGCCGTCGTTGCTACTGCTATAAGACGAGAAAGAGAGACAGAAAGACAACTGATTAGATTAATTCGGGATGCGGATGATTGCCGAGCTCAGGTGATTTTGTGCGTAACTTGGCGGCCCGATCTATCATTTTAACAGCTGCGAGACGTATTATCCAACATTTTAATTCGTAGCGATAATTTGCATCGCGCTGCATATTTATCACATTTGTATACGCATTATTTCTATACGAATTATTTTTTTTATAATTTAATGAGCCTCAACGTATAGTTTGACGGCATTTTTTTCTCGTACAATTTTCCACGATAGATTTTCTTAACATTTACTTTTATTATAATCAATAAGGGGATCCTTGTTGCACGAACTGCGTACTATGATCCAGCGGAGCAACTCGACAGTTGCTCACCGTACGAATCAGTCGTGCTGTATACATAAATGCATTGGATAGAAAAGCCGACTATAGCAGCTGATACCGACTTGGCTCGAAGATCGTGCACAATTGCGTTTTAGGACTTTCCTTGGAGCGAGATTTTTCAAATTCAAATCTATCGATTAGTGCGTGTTATGAAAGATGACTCAACAGTCGCGTCGAAAAGGGATCGCAATAGTCGGGTATAAATTTCTTTTGACCGATAATATTGAGACGGTCGTTGATGCGCGTGCGAAAATGTACGTATAATTGTATTTGCTACATACCAGTACAACTGCACGAAAGAGAGAGAGAGAGAGAGAGAGAGCTGATTGATTATTATTATTTTCTTATCGCTCGATGGCATCGCCATTCGCTGGAGCTCAAGAACGAAATGTAAATCGAATAATGCGTTTTGTAATGTTTCGACGATATGGCATTGGGATGGAATTAAAAAGGAACGGGTGAAATGTTGAAAAGTTTGTGACGTTTTGGCCAAGTAGTTTTGTAAATATATAGGTGTGCGCGCGTATTTGTACATAGGTATAGGAAGCAAGAGGGATAAGCCAGAGAGCTAGCCATGTGCGAGCGAGTGCGCGTATAGGTGTGAGTTAGTGGCGGGACGCTTGCGTGTGCAGCTCGTCGCGGGAGGTATGTAGCGAAAAGAGATATAGCGGTGGGCGCACGAGTCTGTGTTGTGCGAAACGATGCGTGCACGTAGGTGTGTGTGTGTGTGTGTGCGTGTGTGTGTGCGTGTGCGCGCGCGCGCTCGAGGGTCGAGTGCGAGAGGGAGCGAGAGGGAGCGAGGAGAGCTGCGCGGGAGGGCCAGCGAGTCCTCTGCGCGCCGATTGATTCGCCCGCTCTCGCTCCCTCCTCGGCCCTCGCCTCCACCTCGTTCAATCTCTCTCTCTCTCTCTGCGAAGCTCGCTCCGTCTCGTTCTCTTGTACTCGCGCACGATGGTAGTGGTAGAACGTATACACGCGCTCACGCACACAGCACTCGCTGCAGATATCTGCACGAGTCTGCTCGGTCGCACACAGTCGCAGCGTGACGCAGACTCGCAGCTCGAGCTACGGACGCATGCACAGAGACTACGTATAGAATCAGCAGCAGCAGCAGCAACAACATGCATATAGACTGCAGGCGCAGCGAGGAGCAGCAGCGAGTGTAGAGCTGTAGAGCTGTAGAGCTGTAGAGCTGTAGAGCTGCAGAGCTGTAGAGCTGTAGAGGCGCGTTGCTGCTGCACGGTAGGTTAGTTGACCGCGGGGGCCGTGAGCGCGCGCCAGTAGGCCGGCAACGTCACTGCGGGCCGGTTGTGTGTGCAGTACCTGCACTACCTGCACTCCGTGCATATCGCCGTACGCGTGTGTGCGAGATTCGCGGCCGCGCGCCCAAACTTCCAGCTGTCCCTGACTCTCGTCCTCGCGCTGCTCTGCTTCTCTCTCTCTCTCTCTCTCTCTCTCTCCCTCTCTCGCTCGCTATTTCCATCTCGCGGGCAGGGCTACCGTTTCATCGACTCGTGTGCATCGAGCCTGTCCCAAACAGCCGATCGAGTCCGGAGAGCTTTGCACGCAGCTCGATCCAACGACTCCTGCTCGTCTGTGCAACGACCAATACCGCGTGCTCGTCTACTCGTGCCTGCCCGCAACTTTCGCGCAACTTTTTCCTCCTCTTCTTCTTCTATTACCCTTGTTTATGTATAACCAGTGCAGAGTTCGCTCGTTGCAAAGCTCCTGAGCCGAGCACGGCCGACGAATCTATACGTCGAGTGCGCGCATGTGGCAGTCGAGCAAGACGTCATAAACAGCACAAGTGTCAGTGGTGAACGCGACATCTCTTAAAGCGCGACGACTCTCTACATCACAGTTACGCTCATCTGTCGTCGTCGTCGTCGTCGTCGTCGTCTTTGTTGTTGTTGATACTGTTATTGTTGTTGTTGTTGTTGTTCTTGTTGTTGTTTAATTCGTGTTTAACTCGATTCTCAGTTACGCACGCAAATTTAGTACAGACAAGCAAAGCAAATTTTCGATCGATAAATATTATATGCATAGAAACAACAAATACGGCTGTGCGTGTGTGCATGTGTGTGTATGTGTGTGTGCGACGAAGCAATAAAGAAATAGTCGCGAGAACTTGGAGCAGCATTACGATTGAATCACGATCGTTCGACTGCAGCAAAAGCAGCGCAACTGATATCCTCTTGGCCACGACAACATCCTCGAGCTCGCGCGTGTGTGTTATTTTCATTGATTTACTTGATGTGCAACTTCAACGATAACGACCTCAACTACTACTACAACAACAGTAGCAGCAGCAGTGCCAACGGCAGCAACTTGGAAAACGACAACAACAAACGTCAACTATTACAAAGTTTAATTCAATTTTCACGTGGCCAATCCTTGCCCCAGTAGTGCGCTATTACTTATGTAGCAAGGTAATTAAATCAAACTTTTTAAGTGCACAGCTTCGATATTTTATTTTTCCAATCGCTTATCAACCTTGTATCGACTACGTCAAAGCGTAAATTTGCATCCCTCTCTCTCTCTCTCTCTTCTCTGTTCTTTTTACCAAGATGCTCCGTTGCGCCTATTCGCGAGTATTAAACGCGTGCATGTAGCCTCTCTCTCTCTCTCTCTCACTCTCGAAGTAAACTTGGCCGACAACTTGGCGGAGCTTTGCTATTTTTAAAAGTGTCCACGCACGCACATAGGCGCGCGCGACAAACGATGAGAGCACTCGGCATAGAGCGGAGCTTTCAGCTGAATGTCACGCTCGCACTCGCGCACAGGGCCAAGATCGATCTGCAACGCGACGTCGCGACTGTGTCGTGCATGACTGATGATGATTAGCCGACGAATCGCGACTCGGATTCTCGGCTCTGACTGCGTAAGCTCGATGATACACGTGGATCGCCATTTGGCACGAGTGCGTTTACGCGCCGCGTTCTCGCGACACTAGCCAAGCTCTAGCGCAACGGACTTGCTAAAACAGCCTATTTGTAGCGTATGACTGGTGCATCGATGGACACGCGAGCGCACACGTTCGTGCTTTCATTTGGACTAGTCAGGACGCACGCTGAGATGTATGCCTTTGCTTCCGCCAGACGCGATCACTTCGCGATTTTATTCCAAACATACCAAGCTTTTTCTTTTTTGACAATGTTTTGCCTAAACCAAACAAATTGAAGCATTGAAAATTATAATGCTCAACGAGTAATGTTACAATTATGCAAGTTTAAAATTAATTCAACTCGCGTATGAGCTTCATATTCGCGGAGATTTGGGTATTCGTTGCATAGCTTGATGCCATTGTTTGCGATCACATGGTGACTCGACGAATCGAAATCAGAGTTCAGATAACCGAACAAATTTACATACATTATCACAAAATAATAATAAAGGTGGCATATAAACGCATTTATAAAAAGAAAGTTTTTAAAATTCGAAAAAAGTTGTTACAACCAAAACAATACATCCGTATAGCATGAGCACGCTGAAGTAGGAACAGCTGATCGGCTCGTTGCTAACGTGCACATATATCTGCAAGCAAAATGCAATCTAGCTATATCACAACTACAAATTAACTTTTATCTCATAAAGCTCGTATTTTACTTGATGCGTATCAGTGGAATTGCCCTGTGGATTATCACAAATGTAGCGCTAGAGTCGGGATGAAAAAACTAAAAACTAAAGGAAATAATAAAAAAAAACAACAACGGGACGTATATACGTGAGCTCACGCAGCCGATCAATAGAAACGCGCGCGCGTAACGCCAGCAGCTCACTGAAAAAGTGATATCTATATATATATATATATATAGAAAGAGAGTGAGGAACAATTTTGCTCTATGTGTATATAGTATACAGTAGAATTGTGAGTGCGAGAAGGAGCGTGGGTGAAAGAGAGACGAGCTTCCGTTTAAATATGAATTTCGAAAGCTCGCGTGTGCGCCAGAAAGATTTTATACGCGCGCGCGTGTGTGTGTGTGTGTGTGCGTGTGCGTGTGTGTGTACTCGGGTTTATGTGTGCTCGTATGACCTTGTTCACGCGCGAACTGCGTTTTGCATGTATGTGTACGCGTTCTCGCCTTTTGGCAACCTGCAGCAGCACACACGTTGCACACGCAATTCCGCTTTTCTCTCTCGCTCTTACATCTCGCTCGCACTGCTCCGCGTTTGCGCACACTCGTGAAATATATACAACATGTGGTGGCAAGCTTTGAGCTTCCGCATTTCCTCACTTGCATTTGTACGTGCGAGAGAGAGAGAGAGAGAGAGAGAAAAGAGTCGGGCGCGCCAAAAATCTCAATGCTGCGCGAAATATCACGCTCGCTAGTTTTTCATCTTCATTTTCTTTGCCTGCTTGACTCGGTTCTGGCTGCGACTCCACGTGCGAGCGGCTGGTCTCGTAGCCGTTGCAGCGATCTCGTAGCTCTGCGCGTCATTCTTTATTAGCCTCTATTTTATGTACAATGATATCGAGCGATTTACCAAATGCCTCATTCCCATGTAACTCTACCCAGAATGAAATGTGCTTATGATACTTACTCTTATTCGTATAAGCTATGTTCTAGTACATGAGTAAGTCGAGCAACTGCTGCTCTTCCTTTTTCTTTTAAAGATTCGAGGATGAGAAGTTTGGACGGCAACGAAGAGAAACTTGGAGCTTTCCTTAGGCTTTTTCTCGTCGAGTGTATGGTTTTAAGAAGATTACAGGTGAGATTTATGCATTAATTTGACTAGTCTATTATATTCGATGAATCGAGCACGAAATTCGTTGTCGCGAGTGGGATTGCGAATATGCCGATGGCTGCGCGCACATGAGCATGTTTATATATATGCGACTGTAGCTGCGTGTGCGGTTACACGATAAAATAACGTCGACACGGGGCAATGACTCAATTAATCTTCTTCTCATTGCAAAACATTATCAACTAGGATTATCACATTACAAGCGTGAGAGAATTCAGCGAGCTGCCCTGCTGCTCTTCATATAACTACTCGAGTACATAATATTCCATAAATAACACAGAGAAAGAGAAAGAGAAAGAGAGAGAGAGAGAGAGAGAGAGAGAGAGAGAGAGATACGAGTGGACGGAAAATTGTGTTTGAAATGTAAGATATACATTATTATTCTGACCATATTGAAAGTGTGTTCGTGCGCAAGTACGTATGTATATATTTGCAAGCATTATGATACAGAAGTAGATGATTTATCACGGTCACATGTCGATTCGCACGTATAACTTTTTCGGCTTTCGGTGTCCTACGCCTCATATTTCGAGGCGCTGAGAAGTCGGTGCATCTAAGCGCAAAGAATAAGTACTTTGAAAATCAGCCCGGACCACGCATCAAGCACAGTAAACAATGATTGATTCGAGCACAGCTATACATCTCTCTCTTTCTCCCTTTGTATCAATATCTGAAGCGCATAAAAATTGTCCCTGCACATTGATCGATCGCTCGTGTTGGCAGCTATATTTTGAATGCGATTTTCCTGTAGGTGTGTTGCGTTTTCAGACTAATTCTTATCTATAAATAAATTATTTCCATTATATTAAGTATACATGGAGCCGCAAGTCACATCGCTAACGATGCATAAAATCAACTCGCAACTTTTAATACATTCACATAAACGCGTGCATAATTTACACTCGTTTGCTACAGTAGTAGGCGTGACGTAAGTGAAAACGAGATAAAAGTAGAATTTTCCCAGCCGGGGATTTGGTGTAAGCGCCTACGCATAAAGTGTCATTCATCACAGGTGCATTGAGATGTATGTAGAGTACCCAGATATATGTAAAAGTAACCCAAGTAACAAGACAGTAAAGAAACAGTAACGATCGAACTGCACTCGTAAAGTCGAGGGAAGAACTCGGTACCGCTGGCCGGCAGCAGTTGATTCGAGACCTGTGGATCCATTCGCAGCGGGACGGGCCAAATAATAGCTTGCAACTCGATCGTTGCGTTTATCCGCGAAAACAGACTATCGTTGAAAGCTTGAGCGCGCGTAAAAAAATGTCAAGTCTTGGCAAGTGCGTAGCTGTTTAGTTCGGCGTCGACTCCAACCGAGAGATGTACTTGCGAAATAGCTCGTTGTGCAATTGCAGCGTAATGATAGCCGTGATCGTCCTCGACACACGCACACAATCGCACATGCGACGGCTCGCGACTGAAATGCAACCAAAAATTGTCCATGTACCGAATGGAAAAGCTCGAGGTAGTTTAGGCAAAGCTTTCCAGAGGCAAATGTTTTGCCCAAGAGTAAGAGTTATAATAGCGTAGGTTGTGCAGCTCAAGGTTCGTTCATTGCTCGTCGGCATCCTTCAAAATGCGCGCATATTCGAATCTATAATGCGTAGCGGTGAGCGTCGACGAGCGCTGAAACCTCGAACTTGACAGGCGAGCGCAGCTGCAACAGTACTGCTGCTGACGCTACTCACACACACACGTACGCGTCGAATGTGTGCGCTACACAGTATTATATATAGGCGCTCGGCGTTACATAGACACGATTGCGCGCGCTTTGACGTATCGCGCGAAGGTCGCGAGTCGCGATGCTCTTCCGCGTGTGCGTGTGCTGCTGGTGAGCGAGCATCGCAGTGCGCTTCCCCTTCTCTCTTGCCTATAGTAGCTCTCTCTCTCTCTCTCTGTCTCTCTCGCTTTTCTAGCTTCGCTCGTTCTGTGCAATTCTCGTGCATCGCACACGTAGGCTTACGCACACGCATGCCTCGAGTTGCGTGAGTGCTCGTCTGTGTACGTGTGTAGCGCGAAAAACACGCGCGCATCCGAATCGGGCGCGTGCGTGTACAAGTCATCGTGCGGCTCGTGCACACTGCAAAGCTGCGAGCTCGAGTTGCGCCAACGATCCCGCACCGTCACGCTGCGGCCGGAAGACAATTAAGCTGTATTATTCGCGCGAGCCACATTATACATATAAGTTTCTGATTATACTTACTTTCAGCTCTCCTCCTCCTCCTCCTTTACTCAACATTTTATTTTTCCATCTCTTTTTTCTTCGTGCTTTTGCGCAATTATACTTCTCCGCCGCTTCTTCTATTTTCGTGCCTCGTCGAATTTAACCTCTGCAGCGGTTCGTCCGGTACAACGTACTGATCCGAACGCTTTATCGATGCGATATTGCTTCCGAATTCGCTCCCGTACATTCGTTGCTCGTTCATTCAGCTTCGAATTAATAATTGCGTAAATTTTATCGAGCGTCCTGACTGCTCCTATCCTGTTTTTACTTGCCTCGTGAGTTGGGCATCGTGAAATCCCGTGATAATGAACTACTGCAGTTATTCTTGTATCTTACCGTATTATCACTCATTCAACTTATTTAACGAGCTAATAGCGCGATTGGTTTTTGACAAATGTAATTGCGCCACTCGAGACTGAATGCTAAATTCAAATACATATATCTCGAATTCTTATATTTAACTAAAAAAAAACGCGCAGGCTCGTTACATAACAAAAAAAGCGGATAAAAAATGTATCATGATTTATCTGCTCTCTTTCAATCTGTCGCATTGAAATTTTCGATTAAATCTATGAAGCAGAAAACGAAAATCCAGTACTACGGATCACATTTGATTTAACAAGCTTGGAAAAAAGCCCATTCCCCCTTTTCCGATCCTCCGACATTATTTCTCTCAAATCAGAACGAGCACGCGAAATCATGCGGTGTACGAACGTATAGGGCAAATCTGTGCGAGGCCCGCGCCAATACGTGGATGAAATGCAACACGCGAGACAGACGATGGCTGATCGGACAGCGGCGACCGGTCCGACTATAACGAAACTCTTCATTTTCACATTCAATTGAAGCGCCAATCACGCACGAGACCATCGTGGTGAGTTTAAAAAAAATATCGCCACGGGGACACACCAAAAGCTCATCGCAGCGGCACTACAGCCCGTGTGATTTTTCAATTAAAAGCTCTCTCCGTCCTGGCCGAAAAAAGATACAAGTACGGCACGCGAATCCATCGGTCGGACTATCGCATATATATGCGTGTTCCGATGTTTGCCTCTTTATCACTGCGTACATGTACGAGCTGTTATTTTTATACATTGTACCGATACTTCAATCTTTTTTTTATTTATTTTTTCTTTTTTTATTTTTTTTACTTTTTTCATCAATTGTCGATCGGTCGACGGCAGCAACCACATGCCAGCCTTTGTTGTATTTTCATTGGCGAGCTTTTTCCCCGATATACACCACGCAATGTGAAAACTATTTGTCTGTCTCGAGGTAGGCCTATATAAGTTAATTCTTTTTTACAAGCCATCTACGATTTGCGCGACTTTGCACGATATTCATGATTTTCCTGCAGTTGCTTGGATGTTTAGTTGGATTATAGCGCGACTCGATTCGCTCCTTTCATTTCTTTCGAGAATAGGTAGACGCTTTCTTGTCCACGCCGCGGACGATCTATCGGACAATGTCTAGAATAGGAGCGAGATAACTTCTTATTGGCGCTGACTCAGCGAACTGGTCGGGCTTGGGCAAAAGGTAAAAAGTAGTCTCAGATGGGAGATGGCCGCATTATTAAATAAAGCAGCGAACGATGTAAACGCAATGAGACGCGTTGGTCGTACAGTCGATCGCATCCGTTTCATTATACTCCGATCGATCGCAGACGAGTTTGCTTCATTAGACGATCAGTAAGAAAAGCGTAATTCCTTAAAATTACAAGGCTCGAAATGACATTATTGTCTGCGCACATATTATACGCATCGAGCCAGGCATGCACTCGGACGCGTCGAGCATCACACTCACGCAGACGTTTGCTCGCTTGCCTCGTAACTGCTTGCGTGATCCAGTATGCTTGCGTGGGTGACATGTCTATGTGTGGTTGTGTGTGAGCGACGCGTCATTATATTCGCTAACGATCAACTACTACATAGCATTTGGAGGTCCGCTTCGTCGTCGTCTTGGTCGTCTTCGTCGTCGTGGGCTGCGCGAACACGTCGTCGTAGGCTCGCTTTTTTCCTCAATGCGCCTCGTGTGCGAGCTCGAGTGAGCGCGAAAAAAAGAGGTTGGAGGTGGAGCGAGCGTGTGTGCGAGTCTAACGAGAGCATGCCAGAGAAAAAGGGACAAAGGAAAAGCCGATGCCGGTAGGAAACGTAACGCGCCTCTATGTACGTGCAAGCGCGCGAAAGGGAGACGCGGAAATAAAGTGCGAGGCAAACTTGCCAGCAATTGTTAATGAGGATATTGTCCCCGATTGTGCTTTCTCTCTAATACCGGCTATTTCAATTCAAAGTGTTGAGCTGCCTTCAGGATTCTCATTCGTTTGTTTTTTACAACGATTTCAAAATTTTATTTTCCCATATTTCAATGATAAAATCGAAGGAAAATTATGGAAATTAAAATATATAACCATCATAATTTGCCGAATAAAATACACTCGTTTTTGTCATAAATTCATTATTTTTCAAAAGGACTCTCGCATTTTGTTGCTGTAGAAGAGCTCAAGTTTTTTTTCATCTGAAGAGAGACCAATGCTTAATTTTTTAAAGAATTTCTATTCGATGAAAAGTTTTGGCAATTGGCTGAATGAGGATACAATTACTAGTACAGTAGGGTACAAAACTTGGATACCCTGAAATTACAGATGTAAAGGAAAAATTGAAGGTGAATCGAGGCAGTTGCTGAAATATGCTGATGTGTAGGATATTTGAAAACAGGGTTGTAGAAAAATCAATTAAAA